GACCCAAGCGAGTGGCAGGGCCAGCGGAGATTTTAACACGTCACACTGGGGAAAATGCTTTGAAACATAGCACTTTGAGAACACGTTGTCCAGGTCACGGGCTGGTGAAGACTAGAAGGACAGATTTTGTGCGTGATCGCCAACAACAGTGGTAGAGTTGATCCCGCAGAAGGTGTTTTGTTTGACCACGAGTAGAGAGCTGCCAGTAAGTTATCTGCTGTAATACGTATTTGAGACTATTTTACCTATTTTATATCTACCTAGGGGTCATGAGCACAGTGCCTGCTTTGCTTCTAGCTGGTAGAAACAACATCAAGACTCATTTACAGCCTGTTCAAAGTGAGGAGTTACTTAATACCAGACTAAGAGCCAGGGTTCCTTTGGTTTTCTCTATTTGACTGCTTCTCCCTGACGTCATCACTTAACGTGGGAGGGTTGGAGACCCTCGACGGGCTGGGACAGTCCTGCAGGGCCTGTGTACCTGGGTCCATGTCCACACTGCAGGTCACTGGTGAGTTTTAGAAGTGGCCAGCATGGCTAGTGGTGCTCTGGTGCACATGCTCCGTGTTGGTCTTATTATCTTCCCTAAAATAAATGAATATTTATGGATGGTTTTTATTATAAGTGGGGTCTGATTGCAGCGGACTGGGGCCGGCAAGGGTTCATGAGCACCCCAGAAGGCAAAGAGCGGCCCCAGAACTCAGTTCTGGTTCCTGTCCTGTCTGGGCTGTCTGCAATTGGGAGATTCAGTGACACCGGCCTGTGAAAATAAATGGACATTCTGTAAATTGAAATGAGAGCAAAAAAGTACTTTTTTTTTTCCCCCCAAAAATGCCGTAGAGAATGCAGAACCAGCCATACTCGCTTCGCTCTCGGTTGCGTCTTTCCCAGTCAATTCGATGGGAGATGAGTCAAAGAGGTGCCATGAAATGACTAAATTCCCCGGATATAGGAATATAACAAAAGAGGGAACTGGCCAGAATATGAGTGTACAGAGCAGCACTAGGCATTAATTATGTGTTTGATGTTATTTCTGGAATTAAAATTCCATGCAAATAGCTTTTGCTTTTAACTCTGAGGATTGAGAGATGAGGACAAATTCATATTCTTATGTCATTCTTGAAATTCTCACTGTATGAATAATCGATTTCAAGTGCTAAACCCGAGAAAAATACAGGGGGGAGAGACTTGAATTAATCCAAAAGATTTCTGTTTTAACTTGAATGAAACATCTTGTTCTCCTGAAATGAAATGCTTATCTGAAGGCCTGTATGTTCCTCGTATGTTTAAATACATTTAGTGGAATTTTCTGAAGTCTTTTAAAACTGAGAAATGTAGAAGGATCTTCTCTGTAGTAAAAAGTAACCCTCATATTGGGGAATTGGAAAATAGCTGTTAGGAAACATCAAGAATATTTTGATGCAGTGTCTTGAAATGAAATGCAGTGTCTTGCTGAAAATTTTCATGCAATGTCTTGAAATGTGTTTCAGCATCAGAGTATGTTGGATATTTTGGTGACCTTCAGTGGTTTGAGTCAACTTCAACCAGGGAAGCTGGTTTATCATTTTTGCTGAAAAAATATTGAGTTTCAAATYTTAGCAACTAGCTTTAATTGACAATATTTTAAAGGTATAGATAGTGCACAGTAGATGTTCCTATTTTCACRAATTCTAAGCATAAAGCATTGGAGACTGACGCCTTGAATAGTTTTCACTGCACTAAGATTGTAGTTTTTGAAAAAAAAAGTGTTAAATGAATAACGTCATGAAATTTAGCCACTTTTGTTGAGATACCAGTAATTATATTAGCTTTTCCCCCTGAAAACAACTTTAATTGATATTCAAGAGCAATATTTGCTGTAAGCACAGTAARTTCTCATTCCTAATAAATGGAGTTTTTGAAACACAAATAGACAGTGTCGGGCCCTGGATAGGTTGTAATGCCCRAAATCGCTGGTCACTGGGGTGCCAAAGAGAAGAGAGTGCCGATGGTGAGGTATTTTCAATATAGGATGGATTGGTGCTGGTCTGGAAACCCAAAGATGTGAAGAACCTTGAGATGCTTAAAAGCATCTCAGTAAGCAGTTGGCCTTGTACATGGTTTATAGCTGATCTTTATTTCACAAATAAGGGCCATAAAGAAGCAGGTCCTGAGCACCTACATCAAACCTGTGCTTGCTTTTCTTAAAAGCTTTTGCTTTGGGACAGCATGTCTGGCTCCTGCTGGCAAAATGAGGGTTGCCAGATCTCCGTGGATTCTACCTTAAAAATACCGGGAGTTTGGGGTACTGGACCTGAGATGCTCCATGTGCCTTCTTACATGGAAACCTATGAAAATCAGGCCCTATGGGCCTCGATTCAGCTTTTTCTCTATTTTGTGGTCATTTATACCCATAGCAAATTAATGTACACGTGTACAGAGATGGTTATTCCGTGTGCCACGGGAGCAGAGAGAGCTAAACTTCCTAAAGTGCTAAAAACCCCACATCAGGCTAAAATCAGAGCCTGTCAAGCTCCGCCGAGGACAGTTTAACAAGTAATGGATTGATCTTGTAAAGTCGTGTGAAAGATTGAAGCATTTCAGCTCTTCCTTGCCGAGATGATTTGGGGTTGCATGCGTTTCCATGTTGTGCTATTGTACCCTGTGTGTTTGCTATTCAGGGCCAGCAACAATAGAAGTGAAATTGCTTTTCTCAGCGATAGCTCCGCAGAGTTTACCGAAAGCCTTAGTGCCCGGCAGCTTCCATCCCACCTTGCTCCTTTTCCCCTTGCTTTTCTCGATGGCATTTCAGTATTATTAGTATTTTAATTAGGTCTGTGGAGACTTCTCGGTGGCTGAAGGGCCAAGGGATGCGGATACCAGCAGGTGGGAAAGCATTGATCAACCCAGGCCTCCTGTTCTTGTTGTAAATGCTGTGACCACGGCACGAGGTGAACATCCGAGCGATGAATGGGTGTAGTTTCTCCATGGTCCGCATCTCGCTCCCCTCCGGGTGTTTATGGTGCGAGCGTGGCTACCAGATCGGCCTCCACAGGGTCCGTGCTGGAGGTGTGGGGTTCAGCCCCACTGCTCAGACACCTTCTTGGCTTGTTTCAAGGTGGCTCCTGCCTTTCAGGAGTTTRAAGTTCTTTAGACTCTGGTACGTCTGGGTTATCTGATGACTCCATCATCTGTGATCTTCTGTCTTCTATGGTGGACACCTAGACACCAAGCTTGTACATAGGCCCAAACATCCAGTCACTTAAATGTAAATGTCTAGACTTAGAGTTCCTCTTCCCAGTCACCTTCACAGTCACCTGCAATGGGAGAGGAGTGCCAGCCTGCTCTGCTCCACCAAGATGAAGCCTTTTCAGCCAAGGAACCAGAGACCTAGGTATTTCTGGAAGAACTGGGAGTTTCTACAGAWCCTAAGGTGCTGAAGTAACTAGAAATGGGGCAGGCTTCTGAATGACCATCTGATTTAGGCACCCAAGCTCCAAGGAAGAGACCTTGTAGATGTGTGTCTGTTTTCTCAGGTCTTACCCTTGGTACCTCTCTAATGGTGTTTGCCTAGTCCTCATTAGAAGAAGACATGGAGTCCTCATTAGAAGAAGACAGTGCACTCATGCTCATAATGTGTAAGTCAACATATAGGATAGATCAGAAGCCCGAATCTGCTCAGCCTGACTGCAGAGCATGAGAGTTGCGTCGCTCCAGTGTATATGTACACAGCATTATACTCGATCTTGTGTTTGCACATTATTTAGAGCAGTGGCCCATGACTAAGGATACTAACCACAATCTGAGTGCAAATAACRTATCACAACTGTGCAGCCAAAGGAACTGCGACTATGGCTTAATATTTTCTTTCCACACATCGTTGCGCTGGAAATGCCACTGGGAAATTCCCTAATTCCCTCTTTTTTTTTGGATTGATGACAACATGGAAAGGGTAATAGTACTTATTATTTATAATCATAATGTTAATGAGTGTTAATAATAGTTTAGGAAGGATAAAAATGCTAAGACAATATTTAGTGCACATCATATTTTTTACATAAGCAATTTTTCATCAGCCGATTAGATAATTCATCGCTTTTAATGATCTCACATTAAATTAATGCTAGTAATACAGTAACTAACCAGTATATATACAAGGACTGAACGAAAAGGACCTGTAATTATGAAAAAAGTGTGCTGCTTGTTTGAAACCAATGTCCAGAGCTGCTTTTCAAGGCAACTTTGGCTGGTGAAATCAGGCCGGTGCTGCGTATTTGGCCAGGTGGATGATCCCCGAGTGGATGATATTAAATTTGCTGTTCATTTGTGTGGGTAAGCCAGCTCTCGTACACGCTTTGTGAACTGCACACAGACCCTCACAATTTGTAAAATAAGATGCTTTTTTTCTGCTTGAACCAGCACTTCAGCCCTTTCTGGATTTTTGCACATAGGCTGAGCACTTTTCTGTATATACCAGGGTTAATACTAACTTTCCATGTCTTTTTCCTTTTGTCTTTGTCMTGTTTTGATGCAGTTGTGTAAGACGTCACATGCCAGACTCTACTTCTTGCTGCTTTTCCTGGCCCATAGGGTTTATAGGCATCAGTTTTGAGTGTGAAGTGCTCCTTGCTTGTGAGGTAGAACATGTCAGCAGCTCTGGGTGTAAAAAGGAGAATAGTGGGACACGAGAAAGCAAAATAATGTTTCAGGCCCCATGGTCACATGTGCCAGAAACAATTCCCAGGTACTGTGGGAAGCACCGTGTTCGTGTTTTGCTCAATGCTGTTCAGTTTTGAGGTTATTAATGGTTCAGCGTGGCATGTGTTAAGGTGCAATTTTACTGTTAGCTGTTCTTTCTCTCTCTTTTATCCCCTTTTTTCTCATTTTGTTCACATTTCCCCCGCGCCACCCTGGCCCTCTGTGTGGTGACACCTCAGCCGTGTCCACGACCACTGTCACCCCCAGCCCCGAGCCCCCAGTGCCACCAGCCTCTCTGACTGACTCCTCTCCTTGCCCTCCAGCTGTCCCGAGCTCCAGTGCCCTCCCCTCTGCCCCCCGAGATGTCGTCCCTGTCTTGGTCTCCAGTCGCTTTGTCCGTCTCAGCTGGCGCCCGCCCGCCGACGCGAGAGGCACYGTCCAGACCTACACAGTCTACTTCTCCAGGGAAGGCGTCAACAGGTAGGTGCCACCGGTGGGACCGCGGGAGCATCCCAACGCCTTCTGAAGGCTTCGAACCTGCCTCGCATGTGGTTTCTGCATCCTTGTCTTCTCCTCCCACGGTGAGATCTAGCGTGAACGTTTCTCCTTGCAGTATGTATCTTTGTAGACTTTGTGCATCAAGAGCTCAGCGAGAGCTGCGCAACACGAGCTGTGCAACGGTGTTGGCCAAGCACACCATTTGTGATGATGGTGTTACCCATGGCTCTTGCAGCCATAGCTCATGTCTAGCATGTCTAACACGCACTGTAATATTAGTAGCTCCACGTTTTACTTTTCATCCAGCCCTGAAGAAGGAGACTCAAGTGTAGTTCACATCCTAGCGGAGATGAACTTGGTGAGTCCTGGCCAACATGAGAACGGGACCGCCCAGAGTGCAGACAGTGTAAGGTCTTGAAAACAATCCAGGCCTGGACTATGAAGATTTGTATGACTGCAAATGAAATGGGAGCCCTCTAGGCTTCCCAGGCCTCGTGTGCTGGAGCTGGAGTCTTATTTTGTGCCACTCCAYTCCCTGGGCAGGTTTGGGACAGAGGTCCACTCTCTGTTGGACCCTTCGCTTGCTCCTTTCTTCAYCAGTATCTTCTGCCTCGCCCTCGACTTGTTGTTTTGCTTCTAAACCCCTGAGTTCGGACTGGCCTTTGGTCTGTTAGTGTGCTAGTGGAGTAACCGAGTCACTGCAAGCAAGGAGACTGCACTTATTTTTGCTGATTTGCTCTCGATTCTATATGTGTCTCTGAAGTCCCCAATAACTCTTCAAATACAATCCCAAGATAAGTTTAATTACCTATGCATAGTCTTTAAAGTAATTCTTCCTGCTCACTGAGAATTTACTACAGTAAAAATTGAAAATCTCATTTAATATTAAAAATCCACTACATTTATTTATGAGTAAGATGTGCTTATACAGCAATATATTCCCATTTACCGTTTTAGGCAAGACACAAGGACTGAAAATATAGTTTGATTTTTGATTGCAACCTTTGAAAGGTGAAGTTGGTTTGAGAAATGGTTTCTGATTAATAGCCATCCATCTTTTTTTTTAATAACTAAGCTATTAACAAATTTTTTTCCCAATAACAGAAATAAAATGCCCTGATCTTAAAAAAACAAACAAAAGAAATAAAAGTGTTTCTCCAAGTATTTTGTTTGAACATAGAAATCCTCAACACAGTTTTCTTCTGCAAGATTGTGACCTTTATTATTTACAGTAGAATATTCACAGGAACTTCTTTCTAAGAGCAAATTAATAAATGCATAGACGGTCACAAGAAGCCAATGGATGTTGCAGATTAACTTGCTGCATGATGCAAGCTAGAGAAATTAATCTAGGGACCACTTAATTGAATGCAAAAACTTATATTTGATTAGAGTATACCTTGAGGATTAGCCTGGCTTCTGAAACATCATTCCCAGATGAACTATTTACATTTGTTTAGAGGTTTGCTTGTTGTAATCAAGGACTTTATATAATTTCATGGCAGAATGATAATGGGGGATAAAAACCAGAAGTCGAGGTACTAAAAGTCAGTCCATTTTAATATTAATAGTATTCATTTCACAGCAAGGAGCATTAACGCGACTTGTCTTACTTGAAGTAACTAATTACGTGTTTGAAACATTATAAAAGCATTTGTTACACACCTAAGAGATATATGGGAACTGTAATTATCTTTTTTTACACGCTGATACCGTGATATAACGTGATCTTCACTCGCTGGAAATTACGTGTCGGAGGCTCCGTTTCACAAGCGACTGGATGACTTTAGTCAAGGTCTTTTATTTTTAGGCTGCTCCTCAGGGCCAGCTTTACAAGGGGAGACCCAGAGGGTGAAGCTGCCGGGGTCCGAGGGACCGGGAGCCGCTTTCTGGCTGCATCCCAAGTTTCTGGCCAGGAGATCAGAGAGTCACCCGGCCCAAGGGGCTCCCGGGATCCCTGGGAATCCCAGGTTAAATCTGTGCTGTTATCCCGGCCCTGCAAATGGAGGCTGGTGATGGGTGCAGTTCCCCTCACTGAACTGCAGGTATCTGCCCTGAGGCTGAGAGGAGGTTCCTGTGGACATCTCTCCAGAGGGAAAAGGGTAGGGTTATTACATTTAAAAAGAGCTGTTTTGGAGCCGTGGATGCGACGCATCCTGTGTTGGTCGGGGATGGAGGGGAGCAGCCCTGCACGGGCTCACACAGATGGGCCCGRCTTTCCTCTCGCTCTGCAGCTTTTGGGCTAGATGCAGAATGGCCCCTTATGGATTTCACACCTCATSCTGGTGTGGAAATCGCCCAGGTCAGGAAATTGTGGCTCTCCCTGGGCCATTCCAGTGCAGGGCCCAGCAGCTATGTGCGCTTTTCTTTTCMTTGCCAGGTTTTGGGAGCAGATTTCTAACTTTTGCAGAACAGCGTGTGCAAGTCCCCCAGGTAGCACTAACATGAAGAGCTGCTARAACAAAGACCTGGCTTTGTCACTTCATCTCCCCCTTTCTTCCCTAATTTCTTGCTCGCTGTTTGGAGGCTCAGAGGTCGGCTTGCTGCTTTCTTGCTGCTGACAAAAAAGACGTTCCCAGTTAGATACCGCTGCTGACAGGCCCATAATCCCGCAGCAAGGAGGTCGGGCCGCGCGCGTCGTCGCTGCCACGGGTTCCTCCATTTCAGAGCATTTACGACAAGCTTGTTGTTGTTTAGCTGAGACATCAGGGGCCACGTGAGCGCGCCCGCGGGACTGCTGCTTTCGGAGCCCGTCAGCTCGTTAGGCGTCCGCGGGGGCTGTGCGCCGAGCGGCGCCCGTCCTGCCGCGACGGCTTTGAGAAGAAACCAGAGAGACGCGGCCGGGGGATGAAGTGAGCCGAGCCAGGCTGGGGAAGGGGCAGCGTTTCCCCCCTCGTGGGGGTGCCCACAGGAGCTGATTCAGGAGCTCCTCCGAGGGATGCGACTGCGCTGGACACCGTCGCTCACAGGACCAGACCCCGCYGTGTCCCCAGAAATGGCACTGCTGCTGCTGTACCTGGCGCAGCGAGTGGATCCACAGCACCATTGCAGCCGTTCCATAATTAATTGGTGCAGTTTTCAAGGATTTTTTTTCCCCCAGCATGAAATCCCCCCTTTTTGTTATTGTCATTAGCTTTTCTAAAGGCTGCGTGTAAAGGAGAAGAGCTACGCATGCCATCCATAATAAATCAGTTACAGAGCAATTTTGCCTCCTTGTGTTTGCAGATTGGCCATGAAATGATTCTGATTTCATCCTCCCGCATCGGGAGGTGCCTGGTCGGGGGCACAGACCCAGCTCCRCTTGCAGAACCACCAGGACCTGCTCTTCCTTTATTACCCACATGCTCATGACCTGCAAGCATCTCACCTTCTACACCACAGATGTTTTCCTTCGCTGAACAGCCATTTCTTTCCTCCCTTTTCCTTTCCTCATGTACTAAAAAAGGCCAAAAGCAATATAGGATGTTGCTTATAAAGTGTTACAATTCAGGTCTTTCTCGTAGCATTTGCAGTATTTCCTGTGGACCTTGCTACTCAAATCAATTTGTGTAAGTACAAGTGAACATAGCAGAAAACCTCAGATAGATAAGTAACCAGCCATACCTTGCAAGCAGAGAACCACATAGCTGAGTGATCCTTTACGACTCGCGTGCATGCTTAATTTTCCGATGTGACTTCTTTACGTGCAGGGAGCGGGCGCTCAACACGTCCCAGCCCGGGGCACTCCAGCTGACCGTGGGCAACCTGAGGCCGGAGGAGACCTACACCTTCCGCGTGGTGGCCTGCAACGAGATGGGGCCCGGAGAGAGCTCGCCGCCCATCAAGGTCGCCACRCAGCCCGAGCGTAAGTGCGCGCAGCAGCCGCCTTGGCCCGGGCCTCTTCAACAGCATTAACCACGATTACCATTAACCGCGATAACCGTTAACTTTGGCAGCTCCCCACTTAGCACCGTGCCTTAATTTGCCATTTGCACATATTTGCTAGTAAATGCSACAGCACAGCCTTTTTGCTTGGTGCATGAGGTCTTTCTTCAGATTCTTCGGGTTCTGATTAACATGTATAAGTTCATGAAGGGAGAGTGTAGGGAGGAAGGGGCCGAGSTCTTCTCATTGATGGCCAGTGACAGGACAAGGGGCAATGGGTATGAGTTGAAACATGGGAGGTTGCATCTCCAGGTGAGGAGCAACTTCTTCACTGTGAGGGTGCCAGAGCCCTGGCACAGGCTGCCCAGGGAGGTTGTGRAGTCTCCTTCTCTGGAGGTCTTCAAAACCCGCCTGGATGCCGCCCTGTGCCACATGCTSTAGGTGTGCCTGCTTGAGCRGGAAGGTTGGACTAGATGATCTCTAGAGGTCCATTCCAACCCTGAACATTCTGTGATTCTGTCATTCTGTCATTCCCTAAACTCCTAGTTTTTCCTCCCTGTTGCTGGAGGTACCTGCAGAGCGTTTGGCTGGATCAACAGCAGCGTATTGTTGTCCCGGCTGCGCTCATCACACCTCCCACGTACTGCTGTGTGGCAGCCTGTGTGAAGCACAACCAGTGTTTGGGTAAATAAGGAGTTATTTCCAGTCAGACACATTGTAAGCTCACGGGAAGATACACAGGCTTTCCACTGGAGTGAACCCTTTGGTTTATTCGTGTTGGAAAGCAAATATTTTATACTAGTTAATGCTTAGCTGTAAATACATTTTATTGGTCTTTAGAGCCATTTGAAGCTTCTGTAGGTAATTTTCTCTTTCCGTCTCGCTTGATTTTAACTGTTTCTACGCATGTCTGGTCTCCAGAAAGGTGTCTTTCAGTCTGTTCTCGGACCATTCWTTGTCTCAGAGCAGGAGTGCTGCAAAGAAAGGCCCAAAACAATGTTTGTTCCACAGCAAAAGGAGTTGTGCGGAAGACCTGTTGATCGGAATGGGTGTGATAGCTGGGTTTTAGGCTCTRGGATGGATACGGATCCTGTTTTAAGTAGAGCTGGGTGCTGTAGCTCTGCGTGCTTGGGCTGGAGGCAGTATATTGACCCCTGCCTCAACCTGAGCCAGGTCAGAGCCTTGGATTCAGCTCCTGTGTGGCCTGCCGGCATTCCCAGAGCAACCCCAGACCCCAGCAGCAGCAACGTCCGCAGGGTGTCACCTGCAGGGTTCCCATTCCTGCTTTGTCTGAATTCCCGTGCGTTTTAGGTGCCGTGAGTTCCTGCTCCGAGATTGCCGTGCCGCTTTACTGCACTTATTTCCAGTTATGCAACTGTCATGTTTGAACATAAACAGGGTTGTATTTCAGGCCTTTGGGAGGGAAATAGTGCTTGAAAATAAGCTTATGAATCGGAGCCTTTTAAAATAAGGTAGCATTTTAACCATCAATGACGTATGACCGTTTTAGAAGCACGAATGCACAAATGCACATATCCATATTTCTGTATATATTTATATTATATACATAAGTCTGTCTGTGTGTGTACAGTGTTCAGAAGTAAAATAATATTTCACTCTGGAAAATTGTTTCCCCGTTCCAAATGCATCGCTGGCCCCTGCGGTAGCTCCAGGCAGCTGGCACCACACCRAGGTGCCCACCCTGTTTAATGCCAAACGGAGGCACATGGAGCATCTTTCCTATTAAATAACTTGCAAATGTCTCTCAAGTATCAAGTTTGAGCGTGGAGGGGAATATTGCTTTCCATTTTTTCTTTTCATTTCTTCCCGTTGACCAAATTATCTTATCATTTTGAGACAACTCTCTTTGGTCCCGGAAGCCCGTCAGCCCTCGTGCGCTGACTTTTCGAACATGCTGTAACTATTGTACAATAAATTACATGGCTTCACATAAATTGAATTTCCACATTATTTGAAAATATCAGAAGTATTATGCAACCTGGCATTGTTAAGGAAGAAAAAGCTGATGAAAAAGGACGTCTGAAATTCATGTCTGCCAGTGCTGGTTTCTAAAAGTGCATACATTTCCTCAGTAATCAGTTTAAAAGATCAACAGCAGAAGTTCCAGCTTTTGAAATAATCATCCAGAATATATGGGCTGCATTTATAGGAACATCTTTGTCCCCAGATTAAACCCCTCTCCTTTTTTTTTTCCCTTTTTAGTAAACTACAACCCCTTTTTCTCTGCCTTTATGGTATATAATTTCACTCTGGCATTATCAGCAAGGATTAAATCCCTGCCTGCTTAAGCCTTGTCTAATCTTTTCATGCCACATGTGGAGACTTTGTGAGTTATTATTTTGGCTCCTCGAGACGGTGCAGAAGTGGCTCGGCAGCGGGGATGGAGCGGCGGCGCCGATGGGTGCCACGAGCCCAGGGTGGTCCTGGCGCTCCGGAGCAGCTCCAGGCTTCTCGCAGCCTTTCTGAGCATGGAGTTGCTTCCTAAACCCCCTAAATCGGGAGGAAATGGGGGAAGAAAAGATGAAAGGGAGGCAGGTCGCATGTCCCGCAGTGTGGAAATGCCCCTTGGCACCTGGGAGCATCAGCGCGGCTCCTGGCTGAGGAGCTGCAAGGGTTGTATAAAGAATAATTAATCACTGCATCCTTCGGAGCCAGGGAAATATTATTGCACCTGCTTAAGAGGCTTGCGGGAGCCCATCTGCGCTCCCATATGTCGAGCACCTCCTGGGCCGTGGTGAATGTGGGCCCCCCGGGTCTCCCCGCCGCGGTGGCCGCAGGGTCCCCGCTCGCTGTGCACGGGGACCTGCTCTTCCCTGGTGCTGAGGCCGTGTGTGGCACCCGACTGCCGGGTCTCGGTGGTGGCACCGGGGCCTTGGGGCTGCTGGTGCGGAGGGACCAGACCCGGACACCCCAAAGGGACTAGACCCGGACACCGCATCCCTTTGACTCCCGCAAGGAGGGTCAGCGCCTGAAAAGGCTGCATCGTCTGGGCAAAGCGCTTCTGCTTAGCAATTCCCAAGGAATGTATGAGCCAGAGAGACAACCCGTTGGTCAGGTCAGCATTTTCAGCATTGTGAAACGTGGCATTGTGGCGTTCTCCGTGACTGGGGACGGTCATGTCTTTCCCTGAGACAGGTTCTGCTCGCTGTGGCATCACTGCTACTTCCTAATTTGTTCTTAGTGCCCTGGCGGGCAGAAGCTGTCTCAGCTGGCCACGAAAGACCTTCTGTTGTGTGGCTTTGGGACCCTCAGGTCCTTATTTAATCAGGTGTTCAAACTGCTGCYTGACTGGCACCATACAGCAGCTGGAGACTGCTCGACTTTGGTTAAAATCCCCGAGATCCACACTCATCTGGATACTTTTATAATTGCTTTTAATTCCCATTCCAGGCCAGTGTGTATCTCTGCTTAGAAATCAGCCCCGCTGTGATTTGAGAGCCTCACTTAGGTGATTTTGGTGGGGACAGTTTGGTTTCTTGCTTCCTGGCCGCAGCTGAGACAAACGCAGCCCGAGCTGCCGCCAGCGCTCGCGCTAAAGCAGCTGCCCCAGCCGCTGCTCACGTGCTCGTGCTCTGCACATTCTGCTTTGAAGTTATTAGTTGCACAGGGAATGTTAAAAGGACAAAGACAAAATTTCAACCACCGTCTGCCTTAACATGCATTTCTTGTACAAATGTCAAAACTGCATAGGAAATTTAAAAAGCCATTAAAATTAATGTTCTGGAATTTCCCATAAAGAGTCAGGGGAAGGCACGGGCGTCCRGGCCCCCCTTGCAGATTGCCTTTCACCGAGCCGTAATCGGGTCCCTTATGTTGACCCGAGCAAATGCAGTTTGCAGAAGCACCGTGCTGGAGTGATTGAGTTTGCAGAAGACCCACGTCAGGGTCGTGCAGTTTAGCCTCCAATTTGGAGCCTGCGTCAGTCGGAGCCCGCGGGATCACAGGGCGGAGCAGCCCCGGCCCCGCCGTGGTGGCGGTGCAGGGGACACCGGTGCTGCCRTCGTGTCCTCGTCACCTGCTCGGGCTGTCCCTTTCTCCAGCACTGCCAGTAACCTTGTCACTAAAAATCATGCTGAATTTCACTCCTGCTTTGGAAGATAAAAGCGCTGGGGAGGGAGCATTGCCCTCTCCGATGGGAGCCGGGATTGATGCCGTGTCCGCGACAGGGAGGTGACGGGTCAGCAGGCTCGCATGCTTTATGTCCCCATCTGTCCTTTTCACGGCGTGAAGCACCTGCCCGTCTCCCAGGACATATACCAGACAATATTTCAGTGCTTTTGCTCATGGGTGCCGCTGTGCCGGGGCCCCGGGTGCCGCGAGCCYCGAGGTGGCAGATGTGCACCCGGGTGCCACGGCCGCAGGAAAGCAGGAGCCCCGGCGGGTGCAGAGGCTGCCGTGGTGGCCGTGCCGAGCGAGCGACGGGTCACCTTGCAGCAGTGGGATCTCTGACCAGACGTGGGGCCCAGCCTCTGCCGGCAGAGACTGTTAAGGGACTTTCTCCATCTCCTGACAGTCAAGGTCTGGCCGAGGTGACAGCAACGCGATGTTTCCAGACAGGCGCTGCAGTGAATTCATAAAGCCTCTCAGCAAGGGTGGGGAGAGCAGCGTTTGGGCAATTACAGAGCTGAAAATTGCCTTTCTGCAGCTCCACTGCGGGCATGGAAGGAAAAGGAACTCATTTGCAAAGTGCTCCAAGCGCGGGAGCTTGGAAAAACCTGGTGGGCTCCTGCACCACGTGGTGATGTCTGGTGAACTTGGCCACCTGGTTGCCCTTGGGCTGGCTGTGTCACATAGGAGCCAGGTCCCCGCACGGCCGCAGCCTGCGCGTCCTCGCTAGCTCTCATGCAGAAGAAATCAGTCTCTGTAAGAAAGTTGTAGCTCGTCCCGACTAATAAGGGTGTCATGGGGCATCTTCAACAGCTGCATCTTCTACAGCTGTCCCTGTGGTGGACCACGGGC